GATAGATAGATAGATAGATAGATAGATAGATAGATAGATAGATAGATAGATAGATAGATAGATAGATAGATAGATAGATAGATAGATAGATAGATAGATAGATAGATAGATAGATAGATAGATAGATAGATAGATAGATAGATAGATAGATAGATAGATAGATAGATAGATAGAGATGATAGAGATAGAGATAGAGATAGAGATAGAGATAGAGATAAAGATAAATATAGACAGAGATAGAGATAGAGATAGATAAATAGAGATAGAGATAGATATTTCTGGAACTTGGCGTGTATTTCCAGTTTCCTGCAAAAACCCTCCAATAGTGACAAGTCACGAGTAGTACATGTATTCCTCAACTTACCACCATTCATTCAGCGACCCTTTGAAGTTAAAAGGCCCTTGCAACTGGTCTTGGCACGTGTGACTGTTGCAACATCGTCCTGGTCATGTGATTAAAATTTGGGTGCTGGGCCATGGGCCTGTATTTATGACCGTTCCAGAGTCCCAGGGTCACGTGATCACAGGGTTAGTAACTTAACAACTGCAGAGATTTACTTAACCACCGTGGCAAGAAAGGTCGTAAAAGGGGGGCAAAACTCACTTAACAACTGTCTTGCTTCTCAACGGAATTGTTGGGCTCAGCTGTGATTGTAAGTTGAGGACTCTACGTACAATCGGGTGCGACTCATTTAATCGCCTTGCAGCTGTGCTCTCGATTGTGGTCATAAGTCAAGGACTTCCTCTGTGCCCCAATTTATTGTTACTTTTTTTTTTTTTTTTTGCAAATGTAGCCACCCTAATTATTTACCTGCAATGGATCGATGCTTGTCCGAACATGGTATGATTTTATTCGCTTCCTCTTTTCAGACAATCAGTTCAAACCCAAACCTCGGCTAAAGCCGGTGGCCAACCGACGGGCCATGTCTGTTCACGAGGAGCAGCTCAGGGACCAGGCCTGCACGGCAGAGCTTCACCGTAAGTAGACCGAGGACTTCCCAAGGAAGAACAGCTGTGTAATGGAAAGGCTTCCAAAAAGCAGACGGGTGAAAGCAGAAATGCCGATTCCAAAAATCTGGGAGATAAATTCCCTTTGCGTGGCAATGTTTTTATGAGTCATTTCAGATTGTGTTAATGTTTAAGAAGAACATTTCTATATTGCCTGAAACTACAGCAAATGCTTCCTTGTAATCATGTGAAGGGGAGGAGGGAAAATTTGTGATGTTTACAGCAACAGTGCAGTATCTGTTAAAGAAAAGGCTTCTATTGGGATAATAATAATAATAATAATAATAATAATAATAATAATAATAATAATAATAATAATAATAATAATAATAATAATAATAAGGTTGGAAGGGACCTTGGAGGTCATCTAGTCCAACCCCCTGCTCAGGCAGGAAACCCTATACCATTTCGGATAAATGGCTGTCTAGTCTCTTCTTAAAAACTTCCAGTGTTGGACCATTCACCGCTTCTGGAGGCAGGTTGTTCCAGGTAGCTTTCCTTCATCTGATTGTAGCCAATGAGCATGAGTGTTTAGAGGGCCAATCGGGTGTCATCTTGTTTTGGCAATGAGCCAATCAGATCACAATAGGATTCAGTTATCGATGTCATGTGTTGAAGCTGAGAGGAGGACATTTGTCAGTGTGTTGTGTGATCGCTATCAAGTTGGTTGGGGTTTTTTGTGCTCTTTCATTTAGTGAGCTTGTAAAACGTAACAAAATTAAAGTAATGGTGCCAAGAGTTGACTGGTCACCCAGAAAGCGATGTAAAATAGAATTATTAAGTGAACAAGCCTACAGTTATAAAGAAGTTAGAAGAAAAATTGGTGGAAACTTAACCAAAGGTGGCATTTCTACTGTACACTTTTCCCAAAAGGTTTCCACAATTTTGGCCACTACTGTAGTTGTTAATCATGGTGTCCTTAAGCAGGTGAAGATGTAACATTTCACTTTTATATCATGCTACTAAAGGAGCTGATTTACCCATTTAACAAGAACATGATAAATTGCTGGAAACAAAGCCACAAGCTTTGCAGTGTGGGCCCATTTTCATTCAAAAACAGGCCTAGAAAAGAACAAAAATTGTATCAATTCCATTATCAGAACATGAAGAAGCAACAGCAAAATTCTACTACGGAGGAGTAATAATAATTGTATACTGAAAGATTCAGGGTCTGATCTGAAGTTGCGGCTATAGACTCAAAACAAGAGCCCATTTTCCAGAAGGTAAAAATAAGGCGTCTTGCCCTCAAGAACTCCGCTAAAGCATGGTTTCCTTGACTATCTGCCCTACACACTGAATTACACGCTGCAGAATGGCCAATTGTACTTTTTGTTCTGGATCGCAAGATGTCTTTTCTAGATCTGGCTAACATGGCCTATATTCCTTACAGATGCAAAAATCCCTCTTTGTTTGCAACGCTCCCCTATTCTGAAATGGAAGACTAAGCCCAAGTTGTTGTTGGAGACTGGACCATCTGCACCCTCGGATTCTCTAGGTAAGAGAGAGAGAAGTACCCCAACTTTACTCTTCCTAGATATAAACTCATCTTCTGAATTGCAAACATCTCCCATGTTCATGTCAAATTTTAGGACAGGACTACTTTGATCATTGTTGATCAAAGCTTAGGTGTAGAATCACATAGAGCTTACGATGCTCAGCAACCTCCATTTAGTGCCTATGATGTTTGAAGAGCATTAAGTATCTTTTCCATGAGGAACTAGAAGTTTTCTCAATTCTGGTTCCTTAAGGTCCCCCTTGCTTCTGGTAGTTGGCCTGTTGTCAATCAATTCAGCCGTGTTGACGATTTGTGGGGACTTTTTTCTAGGCCCTCCCCCACAAGAACAGAATGTGGTTGCCTCCAACTCAAAACCAAGAGCAGACACAGGAGAAGAGTTGCCCCAGGCTACAGAACAAACTCTACAGAACGCACAAAATACAGCATTAGACCAAAGAACTGCTCTGCCCCTCTCCAAGTCTCCGATACACGAGCATTGAATGATACTGCATGATGACTGCTCCACTGAAGGAGAACAGAGTGAAGGCTTATGGTTTGAAGCAACAGCCAGCTGTGAGGGTGCGAGTTCTTTGGTACAAGGATGAGCAAGTGACCGGCCTTCCCATAGCTCCTTGGCTGGAAGAACTGGGATTTCCAGTGATGGATAGTGGCATCTAATCTCCTGCACGTCTTTCTGGATCGCCCCGTTTCATCTTTCATCCTTGTACACGCTCATCAAAGTGCCCAGTATTCTAATGGTTTGTGTGAGAAAAGCCAAAATCTCAAGTCTGCAGGAAACCGGTCTTTTCCAGCAGAAGTTGTACAGTTGGTACAGATGTGACAAATGTTAATAGTGCCAGAGACTGAGAACCACCAGCAGGCGGGATGGGGGTTATTTTACATTCACTAAACTTGCTTGCCTTGCATTGTATGTTTTGGAAGTTTGAGACTAGGCTAGCTTTGTGGTTTGTAGGAGAATTAAAAGCAAGCACTCAGTTAAACCAGGTACATGTGTCTCATAACAAACTTACTCCACTACCACCCTATATCATATTTCATCTGAAGATCTTATTTCCTTATGTCCACATCCTTTTGCAAACTAGGAACAAAACTGTCACGCTGGAAGAAATATCTGCTGGCACCAATGAGAGGCTTGGTGAGAGCAAGGTAGGAGGAACAAGGTAGCAGCTTTCAGCCAGGTAACCCAAAGAAGGTTGCAGTTTCTCCTTTCCACAATTAAACATTCAAAATTACAGTTGCTCCCATCTCATTTCTTCTGGTATCCGGCCTCTCCTCTAAGCTTCATTAACGTTGCTACAGGATTCAGCAAAGCTTTGCTATTGCAGAGAAGATGGGAGAAATGGAGAAGACTCATCTATCTTGGGAAGAGGTGAGGGCATCACACCAAGCTTGGTGTTTCTGTTCAAACTCTTTGTAAGATGCTTATCCAGTAGCCTTGCCTCACTAATCAGGATTTCCAGCCTTCTCCTTAAAAGAAAACAGCTTAACACCCTAATCCATTGGCTTTTAAGGAGGCCCTAGGTAATCGTTAGTTCTTACAATATGAATCGCTTAACTCGTTACAGCTCCTGACATCCAAAGCACTAGCACATAGACAAAGAGTACGTATTTCTCCACACTGATAGTCTGCAACTAAACACTGTGTTAAATATAGTTATACTCTGAAAAAGAAAATGCAGCTGTTTCGTAGAGTATTCGGTACTTTCACCACTAGCCTTTTTTCAGACACTGGAAGAAAAAATATGTGGCGCTTGGCTAATCTGTTATATTCTCCAGAGGACTGGAAGGGTTCTACAGCTTTCAGCTGAGAGTTTTTCTGCCAACATGGATGGAAAGTTCAGGACTCCATAATCTGAAGGCATTCTTTTACGAACACCGAAAAAGGCTTTTGCTTCCGGTTATCGGTGAATTTGAATTGAGGGAACGTTATGGACCACACCACAGTTAAGATAATGGAGGATATATGCAGCCACAATAGATGCAGAGTTCTCACAACAGTGTCTACTAGTATAATGCCACCTACACACAAACCTGTTTCCACACAGATAACATTTTGGAATCCTGGTTCAATTACCAATCATCCTCAACCACGAGAGACGCTCAGTGGGAGCTGAGCTCCTTGTAATTGTACTTGGGTATTTGCCATCTATTTACCAGATGATTATTGCATGCCTCTTTTAAAAATATTCCAGCACAAATAGCCAATTTATTTAGATTTAAGGTCTTTATTTTAAAGCAAAGAATCACAGAATTTTATTTTAACCTTCAAACTATGTTTGAGTGACTGTGCTCGAATTTGGAAAATTGGCACACAAGGTATATTTTTTATCCAGAGCTGTGCTGTTGTATTTTTCCTAATTTGTTTTAATTTTCAAAACATTTTATCAAGCATGTAAGCTATATGAAGTATTTTGTAATTAAATGAAAGGAGGAGATGACAAGAATAATTAAAAATAAGCATTTTAATTCATATTGATGTTGGCATACAATTGTTTATTACCTTTATGGCATTTTTACAAATATATACTGTTGTAGAAAACCATTCATCGCTTAAAGCAAGAAATATTTAATTGGTGTAGCACTTCATTAGATGTATTTCTATCACAATAATGAAAGTTCACCTTCTTCTATATGGTCTTTCTGATGCCACACTCAGTTACCTTAATGACCCATAACAGATATCTGTCTCCTGAAATACTCTACAAATTTGATTTTGCTTTGCTGCATAGTTATCTAATGAAAGTGATAGTAGACTGTGAACAAAGTTCTTTATACAATTCTGAACCATGAAAGCTACAAGAAGCAATTATGTGCATTTCTTAATGTTCTAAAAGAGATAAAACAGATTCATGAGTATTAGGCATAATCTGTAAGGGAACTTCCCTCTTTAGAAACATAAAGATATAAATCCTGTCACTGGAGAATAACAACAGAGATAGTATTTGTCTTCATATGATTGCAGGCTTACTAGTGGCATCTCATTCACTGCAAACAAACCAGACTGGAATTGTACCCATAAATGAAATTTTGTATTCTTAACTGCATTAAAACCACTATGTGGTTGTAGCTACGGTATGTGCTATTGTTTATGGATTTACTCTTTGCAAACTCCTGAAATTCTAAAGCACAAGTAAATTGTGCAACACGTAACATTTAAACAGAGAATATACTTCTACTGTCTAAAGTCTCTTAAGGGAGCAAAATGAATAAAATAATTTGAGCAATTCCTGGACCAGCTCTAAAGGCATGTGGGCTACAGATCCTCTCTAGCTTCAAAAATGGATATGCTCCTTAAATACCTGCAAATCCCTCATTGCAGATAAAATTACAGGGTTTTTTTTTGCATGCCCCAGGACTCACTAGCTTAGGAACTGTAGTTTCCGTATGTCAACTTTTAAAGACCAAATTTCTTTGCATTCTATTTACAACCAACTGTAAAAAAAACAGCTTTCCCCCTACTTAAAAATAACTCTTTATCTTTATGACGTACAAGGCAAGCTGTAATGGATACCAGTTTATTTTAACAAGTTACAAACAAAAATATACAAACAAGTGTGCGCTTATAGCTGAGTCCCACTTATAACTTCATATAAACAGGAGCATTATGTCTTTGGCACTGTCATTCTGCCATCCTTAAAAAGAGCAGGTGGCACATCTTTGTATCAAAAATCAAAGCAATCTTTGCTCGAGACGTCCAAACAACAGATGAAAAGGTGATGGATTCCTTTTTTCCCCCCTTGTACGTGAAATCAAAACAACATATCCATCTTCAGGAAAACAGAATAAAAAAAAAACCCAAACAGCTTAACCGTAGCAAAAGTGTCTTAGGTAATTCAACCTGAGATCAAGGTATCTTAAGGAAGTTTATTGCTTCTCCTCATTGCTGAAAACCCAGCGTGCCCATTCCAGCAAGGCTCTTGAGATCCTATAGATCAAAAACAGGAAACGTGAAAGCACCAGACCTGAAGGTAAGCAAATATTCAGATGTGCTGGGTGTCAGGAGCAAAAACGTGGGGTTATTGGCAAGGTTTTATGGAAAGCAACAGTCATTGCACAAACTGTTCTCCATAAATGTATGGTTCTTCTCGTCCAGCACATTTAACATAGACCCTTCCCATGATATGTGTGACTAGCTAGGAAAGAGATACTAACCTTACAGACTGCACTTGAGAGCAGAGCTCAGGTGTAGGTGGGTTGGGTATAAAATGAAAACCGTCTCCTTTCGCGTTCTCCTAAGAGTGAAAGAGGGAGGGAGGGAGAGAAAGAGAGAGAGAAAGAGAGAAAGACACACAGAGAGAAGTGAATCCTTGTTTTTTTAAATTCTGGCCATATTTTAATCACTATTTTGGAATAGTTTGGGGAGGATGAAAGAAAAGTTAGAAGGTATTAAGTCGGAAATCAACAATACGGTTCCCACTGAATCACCCAAATTAAACTAATATTTTTAAATAGCTAACATTTTGCCCTTTATACAGTCACTGCATAGGATTCCAGCATTCTCACCTGACATTCCCCAAATGAAAAAAATCCTATGTCAGATGTTGCCACCTTATAGTTTCTCACCAAATATAATTACAGATAACCCTAAACTACAACCAGTGGTGTAGTGACAGTTTGAACCTATGACGGACAACACCCCCCCCCGCCAAAAAAAAGTACTTATGATCTTATTCTGAAGTTCTGACAGCCGTCCCCTGGTTATGTGACATTTTGGTTGCTTGGCAACCAGCCAGCATTTACGGCCGTTTGCGGGTGTTCTGTGATCACAATTTATGATGTTTTTTGGAGAACACCAGGATTTCTGGCAAAGTTCGTCCTTGGTAAACGATGAGTTCACTTTAAGGACCACCTCAAAAAAAGTGGTAAAATCTAATCGGTCATTTGCCAAGCTCAATTATGGCAAAGTCAAGGATTATCTGCATCGGCGATGATTGAATATAAATTTATATTGGCAACCAAAACATATCTGCAAAACAAGCATGAGAGGAAGGGCGGATTTGCTTTGCAAAGAGTCTGTAATTCCACTCTGACAAAGCTATAGAGGGGTTTATTATTATTATTATTTTCCTTCACTCAGATGACAGATTTACCTTTGGTTGAACTCCGATTTGCTTTGATTTCCTTGTGGTGACTCCTCTGGGTACCTGCTCGCTTCTTTTTTCCAGAAATTTCTCTGTATAACTGCAATGGGCAAACACAGGTGACTGCTGATCCTGAATCTCCTCCAACCGTCTTTTCTTAGGGGTGCTTGCAAAGTTCAAGGGAAGATAGCGATTTACATGTTTCCCACTTGGATTACTAGATTTCGTAACAGTCTCAGTAGAGCAATGCCCTACAGCTTCCAGATTACTACTGCAAGTTGGAGAAAAAGTCTCAGAGGATTCTTCTTCACTTGGCGCTTGCTTCCTTTTAGCTGACACGTATTTCTGAGTTTCACAGTGTTTCTGTCTAGCTGTCCTCTCCTGGGCCCCATGGGCAAGGGATAGACAACCCTTCCTCCTTTCAGACACCGGCTCAGAGGACAAGTCGCCCTCATTGGAATGACCAACAGAAGAAAAAGAAAGGACGGCATTACGAAGACAGGATTTATTTAACGGCTGACCGCAAGGAACGCTGTCTGCAAGTTCGCTGTCCTGGCCTGACGTAGTTGACGTAATCAGGTCAGCTTTCCGACTGGGCATTTCGTGGAGAAATTCCCTGTTCTGAAAATGAAACAGCGATGGAAACTTTGCTGGCGCAGCCTGCTCAGAGCTGGAGTGAGGCATATTATCACAAGGCTCCGGGAAATGTGAGATGCAAGAGTTGGAGTCTGGACTTGCTTCTTCAGCAGGACTGGCCAAGAGCATCTGCTGCATCTGGGGAAGTCCACAGGATGTGCCAGAAGTATCTGTCAAAGTGCAAAAAAAAAAAAAAGCCCCCCCCAAAAATCAACTGTTTTCAGTCGATGGAGATTCTCAGTCACCCAAGTCTTAGTTGTCCCAAAGATGCTTTTTCAAAAAGCAACTTGGACTTTCTTATTTTTTTTTCTCCTGGAAGACGTTTCACTTCTCACCCAAGAAGCTTCCCCAATTCTAAAGAAGCCGTTGCCTTCAGTCAGAACTGAAGAAGCTTCTTGGATGAGTAGCGAAAACAAAGCTTTTGGGACAGGCGTTTTAAGGCATGTAACAGCACAGAGCCACACTACCTGGAAACAGATATCCTGCGTCTAGTGCACAAACAGCTTTAAGAGGAACACAGATGCACACACACTCCCACGCCATGTGAAGTTTCTCACACATTGATCAAAGTGCAGTTGACAGTTTACTAAACAGGGAACACCTTTGCAAATGAAACAAGTTCCCAGTCCCTTTCGCAGGACTAAACGACATGAGATTTTACTAAATGTCTGTGGAGATTCTCAGTCATCCAGGTCATGGTTGTCCCAAAGATGCTTTTTCACGAGGCAACTGGACTTTCATCATCATCATCATCATCATCATAATCATAATCATAATAATAATAATAATAATAATAATAATAATAATAATAATAATAATAATAATAATAATAATAATAAAGTTGGAAGGGACCTTGGAGGTCATCAAGTCCAACCCCCTGCTCAGGCAGGAAATCCTACACCATTTCAGACAAGTGGCTATCTTCTTAAAAACTTCCAGTGTTGGAGCATTCACCGCTTCCGGAGGCAGGTTGTTCCACTGGTTAATTGTTCTCACTGTCAGGAAGTTTCTTGTTTTTCTTTGAAGACGTTTCGCTTCTCATCCAGAAGTTTCTTGGATGAGAAGCGCTGAAGCAGCTTTGGATGAGAAGCGAAACGACTTTCAAAGAAAAACAAGAAAGTCCAGTTGCCTCGTGAAAAAAGCATCTTTGGGATGAGATTTTTACGGCACCCAACTTGCTTATATTTAGATGTTTCATTGGAAATTGAGGAACTTGCTGGGATTTTTGTGTTGCAATCTTAAAACGTCTTTCTCATACTAATTTCAATTAGAGGTACTAAGTTAGCATAAAATGAGATGAGACCAATGCAAGAAGCATCCCGAGGGCTGCGGATTCATTTTTTGTTCTCAAAGGGTTCAGTGTGGCTACATGGTAAACTTTTGTTGCTTCTGTTTTGATTTTAAGAAGCAGGCATTTTGATAACCTTTAAAACGGGTTGCTTGCTTTCAATTTGCGCAGTGCATGAACCAATGTAATTTATTCATTAAAAACAGGGTTTCAGTTCTAGATTCAAACAAAATTGGCATCTATCTTAAAGAAACACAAGCAGCATCAAAGCTTCAGCTACACCACTTTTAGTAAGGGTTTCCCACGTACCCTTGCATGAAGATGCAGCGAAAGAGAAATTCCTGCAAAATATTGTTGATGATGGCAGAGAAAAAGTTAATTAGCATGTGGCTAGAAAAGGGGTGTGGTGTTGAAATGAATAGTAAGAGCCAATAACCCCTATCAACGCTTGATTTAACAGTTTCTCCAATGGGAATGCAAAAAAAACAGTCATGTTTTGCTCCTAATGTTATAGAGAAGTAGTGATTAAAGGTGACGGTTAGCTTTTGATCTCACTCACCGCTGGAAGAGCTCAAGATTATTCCTGGGACTGCATCCCAGGGATTTTCTAAGGATCCATTCAAACTTGCAGAATCTACTGGGTAAAGAAACGCAAATTAACATCTTCCTCTAAACATTCCTTGAAAGGTGGAGCAGCTCAGGATAAGATCCTAAAGAGCAGCCATAGTCAAACATTGCAAAAGATTATAGGAATCAAGTCTGACACAAACACTGTCAGTATCTCAAGCAAACGGACCTGCGTTCAGAGTTCAAGAAATAGGAAGCAAATTCACATCTAAGTGCATTCAAAATTTGATTTAGGTGGAAGGTCTTCTGAATAGACGTGAATAAGCAGTGTTAGGTTTTGAAAGCAGAGTCGCTTGTCTGTATGAAAATACCCAGATTCACAAACCCAATATTGTTGCTTTTATGTATTTGATATCCAGCAGCACATTATTCTTCATATGCTTATGCAAGGTGATGATGGTGATAAATTCCTGGGAGATGAGTTGGGCTGAAAAAGACTGAATGGCCCAAAGTCACCCAGTGGCTTTCATGTCTAAGATGGGACTAGAACTCACAGACTTCAGGTTTCTAACTCGGTGCCGTAATCACTAGGCCAAACTGACTTAATACACCGCCTTATTGTTCTCTTTATATCTACTCATTATACATTATACTTTATGTCATCCGTTAGGCTCTCGGAGTAGAGAGAAACAGATGTTACGTTATGTCAGGCCCCGCCATTCAAGTTTTTTACATGAGGTCACCACTTCCTTTGGAAGAGGAGATAGTGAAACTGGTCAAATGGCGCCCCCTGGTGGTCAATGAAAACATCACACAGGACGTACACAATGTAAAAACAGAGGCGGGTGGAAATCATGTGATACTCTGTACACGGGAGGCGTGACAAAATGTAATATTTGAGCAACTCTGTCCCTAATAGGCTTGAAGGAGGTGGACTATATATACACCATTCTGCCATCATCCATATCACTTTTCTTCTGGGAGATACAGTAGTGCAGAGTTTGAAGTTCAGTCTTTTAAATAAGATTTTAAGATAAGATAACCCTTATTGTCATTTTTTTTTTACTGCGGGCACAACGGCACACATCAAAAATGAAATTTAGTTGCCCGCTCTCAAAGTGAAACACATACATGACACACACCTAAACATACCATGTACAACACATGTATAGACCCACACCCTTACATATACGTAACAAATAAATATTCAATACTATCCATCTTGAATATATAACGGAAGGAGGAAGCTTGAGAGAGTGTTTGATTGTTGGCTCTAAAGCCTAACTTGGGTCTTGCTACATGGACTTACGTAGGTGTGCATCCATAATTATTACGAAAAATCCATAGATATCTTCATTGAATTAAAAAAAAAAAACAATAACGAAAGTTAAATGAACAACAAAAAGGAATTGGAAAAAAACAAAAGATCGTAAAAAAGCTAGATAAAAGTGCAAAAAGAAAAAAAGATGAGAACAGAAACAGAATGACTTTCTTTGGCGTAGATATGAAATAAAAAAGTACATCCAACACAAATAACAATTGCAAAATATTGACTGGCTTGGGCTAATCAACCTCCGTGAATGCTTTTTTAGAACTTTTCTGAATGCTGATTCCTGAGTCTTTGGGATAATATTCCCTGAAGTTTAAAATGCACCATTCACCTGCACGTTCACAAAAAACGTTCACAATGGTACTCACCACTGAAAAAAGATACAGTACTGCGATCATCTTCTTCAATGTCTCCAGATCCTTCAGGAACAGCTTGAGGGGTATCTGAGAAAAACAAGAGCTTATTAGCTATCAGCATCCACTCCCAGGGTTCCCAAACCAGGGGTGCTTACATCCCCTGGGAGTACAAAACGATATTCCAGGGTTTTTTTCAAAATTATAGTGTATATGCATAATTCATTGCCGTTATTTCGAACTTTTGTAAGGGATGCGAGAATATATCAGAAGTGTTCTAGGGGTGCGGGGTATAGAAAAGGTTGGGAACCACTACTTTAGATCAATCCACACAAGCAAACTTAAGGACTTAATTTGTTGCTTTGCAACAGCCAACCTTGGAATCCAAAATAGGTAACAAGGCATGCTTTGCAGGTTATTCACAAACAAATTAAAGCAATGCAATATAGCTTGATTTATCCAACTGTGGCATGGGAATGGCTGTGTTTTGTTCTGAGCTTATACATTTGTGATAGCGACCGTACCCAACGTTGATTTAAGAAAGCTACTTAAATTGCTAGCGGCCACTGCTTTCCGAGTGTATCCAAATCTCTTTACTTTTTCTTTTTAGTCTTGATTTTTTCCAAAACAAAAATGATCCACGAGATATTTGTGTCATTGAATCCACAGGATAAACATACCTCTTGATGCTAAAAACTGCAGGATGTACCTTAATAAAAACTACAAAAATCTTGTGAAAAGCCCTACTCCATTTACAGTATGATGTCTGGCCGTCCTATATGATAAGATGGAACATGGATGCAAGCAAAATTTCAGTTTCATCTTCACATCTGTGTTATGCCATTCCTTGCCAACTACCATAACAATTATGACATTTAACTACAATGCTTGTATAGTTAGAAATCAGGAGCGCTGCCTTAGAGGGAAAAAAACTTCCAAACCAACCCATTTTCATCCATATATCTGGTCCCTGGTTCTGCCACTCACTTGATATGTAGGACTGGGAAAGTGCTGCCTTATTTTCTGCATTGATCAGCAGATACTTAGCTGGAACCGTGAAGATGTCTTGGTTCATCTGAAATCAGAACAGTTTCTGCTTTACACAAGGCAAATATAGAATATCAGCATTCTCAGCTGCTCTTTCACAGGCGCAGGGCACAGAAATTATGATAGAATAATTACGTTGCTTGCTCGAGAGATTATTGTAATAAATGCATTGTGAGTTAAAATAAATAATGAAATGAATGTTCCTTATTTTCTTGCCAAAGCAAATAGACGTATCATATATATATTTATGTTCAGCTTGGACCTGTCTCCTACGTATATTCTATCTGTAGCAGCCTAGAGAGATACAAACCTTATTTTGCTTCCGTTCCAGTTGCCATTTAGTGTCAGGATACACGGCCAGTTGCTCAGAATCCAACAGTTTTGTGGGGCCTAATAAGTTGAGACAATCCTTAGCATTTTGTTTCAGAGTGTTCAGCTGATCCTGGTTTACCTCTTTCAAGACTTGGGAAACTGACTGTGATTCTTGTTCTGAAGAAGAAAAAGCACATTGTAAATAGATAATTAACTTACAAGCAACATCCCAAGCATTTCCCTTTAAGACTGAATGATATAAGACCAGGGATACTAAACTATTTTTTTTAATGAAATGTCATGATCAGAAATACATCATCGTTTTTGTACCTATTCTGGCCTGAAGATAAACATATTTTGAATCTATCTCACGAAAGTGAAAATGTTTTGAAGAAAATACAACTTAGGAAGGAGTTGTGTTATAAATGTTAAGCCTTTAAGTGGCCTGAAGAAATTGTCTAGGGGGGGGGGCATAAAACACAAATAATATTTGCTCCACAATGAAATATAACATAAAAAAACCAGAGGAACCCAAACTGACCCCACTTTTCACTAAATTTCATTTAAAAAGCCGCCAACATTTAATCTGGCATACCTGAGTTGAACAATATCTGCATGACAAAACTTTTCCTGAAATATATAATCAAACAGCATCAAGAGTTAAGCATGACAGTTAACTTGCCAAGTCTCTACACCTCCTCCTCTTTGATTTACATCCTGAATCTCTCCCTGTACAAAGTTATTGTTGCTTTCTCCCAAGTTTCTTCTATCCCAACCTCAACCATCCAAGAACGTAATTTTTGAGGTGTTTCTGTTGTCTCCTCAACGGCAACTCATTGGGGTGGGTATCCATCATCACCTTGCATAAGCATAAGCAAATAAAAATGGTAATAGTGGAGGAGAGACGTGAAGGAACTCAGGTCAAGAGGACCAACTGTGAACATCAATGGGCAACACAAGCTATCAATTAGCTGATTGATTTTGCACTTTGCTTTAAGCCATGGGTGTGCAACCTTTTGTCTTGTGGGCCAAACTTAGTGAAGAGGAAATGTCTTGGGCCACAGATAAAATATATAATGTAGTTTATGTACAAAAATAACAAACTTCCTTTATTTTTTAATATTTTATTATATCTTGTGGGGTTGGATAACTAGTTGTCCAGGGCCACATATGGGCTTGTGGCCTGCGGGTTGGATACGCCCACTTTAAACTATGTTTAAACCAATGGATTACCAAATAAATGAAATTTGGCTATGGTTTCACCCTAAGTTATGCCGTAAAATCACAATTTATTAATTATAGGTAAACCACATTTTGACTTGTCTACACATTCTGCTAAGCGGAAAAGAAAAGAAAATCCTTTATCTTCCTTTTTAATCAAAATGAGAACAGTTATTTCAAACAGCAGTTCTGAGTCCTGGATCATAATGTAGCACTAATTTTTCATGAGAATGGAACTAAAGTTGTTTTGCTGGGTTAGCTAATGTTGCATTTCTTGGGGAAATGGAAAGTGGATTAACAAAACTGTACTTATGTCGGGAACCAAAGACTATCATGCTTATTATTGACTTATTCATTAATTATCCATTAATTATTATTATTAATACACAAAAAGAAAATGCCCTACTGCTCTTCAAGTATGAAAAAGCAGGCTGCCATTCACATCATGCATAATGAGGTCAAATACAATAAAAAGTTGAAGTCTCTTCCTTGGATTATGTGTGAGAAGAACCTGGAATATTTCATGATACATAGGAAGATTCTACAGAGTTTATAATGTTGCTATAAACAAACCTGAATTTAAAACTGCTAGTTTTAAGATCTCACAGAACAGAATCAAGTAGCTGGCCCACATACTTACTGCCATAGTTCCCTTATCTTTTGCAGGACTGACATCGCCCGGTTGCTATATAAAAGGATAATTAACATCGTCAGTTTTTTAATTGCGGTGGAAAAGCTCAGCTAATAAAACCACATCCAATCAGCAGGTCAATGAAACAGAAACTGATTGTTGACATATGTCAAACCTCAAGCATCTCATCAATTTGGTTGGTAAACATTTTATGACATAAACTTCTAATTTTCAGCCTTGGGCCCCATGTGTGATCTTCCATCCAAATATCAAATCTAACCATACTTAGCTTTTTGAAAATCAAAAAGGTCAGCTAGGAGGTGCCACCTGCTGTAATGTTTAATCCTTCCTCTTTCCAAAACTTGACTATTTTTAAATGTGTAAGGCTGCTCAACTCTACACCAAGAGTTGGACAGTCAACAACAGACAATAGCAGGTATTGCCCTATACAGTAGTTAAGTGTTTATAAAGAATTCATTCCGTTAAATTTCCTAACTCTGATTAAAATGGATGGGATGCAGAAGATTCTGCAATTTTCAAGGTTCGAGCTTAGGCACCCTGTCTTCCCAGTAGGCACCCCAGCTACACAACTAAGATCAGTGTTCTTGTGGGTCTCACCAATTTTGCAGACTCTTCTCCTCTCTCTTCATGGACATGACCTGGAAACATTCAAGGGTGAGATAAAATCGACAATCTTCCTGAAAGTGAAAAACAAGCACAATGAACGATGCTCTGAAAGACAAGGAGACATCTCAGACTGTACATGATCTCAGTGATGGAGAGAAAGTAGCATGGCCTGTGGATAAAAGCCATCAAAGCAGGCTTCTCCAACTGAGGTGACCCCCACCAGATGGGTGGAATTCAAGATTTAGGATACATTGATGGTTAAAGGGTGGAATTTGAACTCAGGGGGAACCCAGTTCAAATCCCCACTTGGATACAAAGCTATCTGGGTGACCTTGCTTCTCAGCCCAATCCAGCTTCACACCAAGGGGTGGCAAGGATCAAATTAGGAGACCTTTCAAACAGAAATGAAGATATAAATGCCCTAAAGCAGGTACAGGAACAATGGCAACTTGACAATCTGTGGACTTCGATTCTCAGAATTCCTGAGCCAGACCTGCTGGCTCAGGAATTCTGGGAGTTGAAGTCCACAGGTCATCAAGTTGCCCATTTCTGCCCTAAAGAAACTATGGTTAGCAACGGCTATGCTTGCTAAAGAATTCAAGAAGTGAAAGGCGCCCAAATTAGATGCTTATTATGCCCCCCCAAACTTATTATGCCTCCCCCTCAGAAAATGAACCTAAGCTGCAAAAGGCAAAGGGCTTCTCTCTGGGTTGCCTTCAATCACTGAAAGAAGCAAGAACAATCAACGGGAGACATTTTGATGCTTGGAAAAGGGAGCCTCAAATGATGCCACATTTAAGGAGCTCCCCCTGCCCAATGAAGCCCCTTCCTCTCTCTCTGGAAGTAAAAATAAAACAATAAAAGGCCCCATGAGACTCATTGTGGCTTTGGAAAGGCAAAGAGCATGCCTCCGTTTCCTGAATATCCAAAGTTTTCCTTGGCGGGAAATGGTTTCCCAAAAAAACTCACAAAAACCCCACTGGAAGAGAGGAAGAAAAACAGCAGTGGGGTTGGTGTGGGCCTGCCTTGTCCTCCTTTCCTTCCCCCTTAAGGAGGACGGGAGATTTTCAGGGCTTTTTATGGCTGCTAAGCAGGATTTAATGGTGGCTGAGATGTTCCCTCAGGGAGGCTTCAAAAAGGCCACAAAAAGGCCAGAAACCACTGGCGGATTAAACATCGGAGGCCAACGATTGCATGTTTAAGGATACATATATTCCGCCCGGCGACAGCCCTACTTTGGGGGAGACCTCAGAAAGGGTGGATTCCAACCCCCAACACAAGGGATGAATTATTTTATCTGTTTTGAAGAATAAAGTAACCCTCCAACTTGAAATTGGCTGTGGTGGGGGGGTTGTCTATCAAAATTCAAAAATAGGGCAAGCTGGCAAAGAAGTCAAGAAAAAAAAGAGGATCCTCAAACAATTTGGTCAAAAATGGGCCCGTTTCTTTATCGAAGACATTTTACAGGCTTGCCATACACTAAATAAAATAACATTTTACAGGCTATCACCATCACATTGTGAGATAGGCAGCAAATAAATTTAACGGACAAACAACCAAATAGATAAATATTGAGGTGGGGGAGGAAATTTTCATACAGGGAGTCCTTGTTTAGCGATTGCCTCCCTTAGCGACCATGTCTGAAATGTAAATAAATCTAAAGGACAGCTTTCTGACATAAAAGGGTTGTCCTATATACATATGGTCACTATTAAGCCAAAGGCACAACAGTCAGAGAATCATAAAAACACCCTCGATACTGACAGAAAATGGGCTCCATTTTACATCCGGGGCCCCAGGCACAAACGGGCCCCAGGGTTGGGACCACGCTAATATCAAGTGGCATATAAATTTAACAAATAAACAATCAAACCTATTTTTTTTTCCTTATGAACCTCCTTCAGGTCTGTCCCTTTTTCTTTATATTTTTTAAAGTCTGGTTGCCATAACTAAGCCCCTCCAGTGATTTCCAAAATTTGATAGCAAATTTTAATTTGTAATGTGATAGACAGGGAGAAATTATTCAGCACAACTGCAGAGTAATCTTTACGATTTAATGCTTCTTAAACTTAAATGATATGCCACTCTGATGCAAGTATTGTCATCAGTGCAGGAAGTTATGGCTTAGCACTTTTTACAAACAATGTGGCTTTTTTAAAAAGAAAATACCTCTAAAATGTATGATTTTGGCCATTATCTGTCCTTCTCTTAATTACAATATGCTGCAGTAAACTCATCTTGAAATCCTGTTTCCTATATTCCTATACAGGTAGTCCTCAACTTACAACAGTTCATTTAGTGACCATGCAAAATTACAACGGCACTCAAAAAAGTAGCTTAATAAATGTTTCACTTAGCAACATAAATTTTGGACTAAGTTGTGGTCATACGTCGAGGATTACCTGTAATTGCAGTGTCCTGGATTCACATTATGGCCTCCTTTGAGCTGCCCATTCAGCTTCTGACAAGCAAAGTCAATTGAGGAAGCTGGATTCATTTCATGTCTCATGATTCACTTAATAACTGCAGTGATTCGCTTAACAACCGTGGCAAAAAAAAACCCTTAAAATTGGGCACGGCTCACTTAACAACGTGCTTAGCAACATAAATTTTGGTCCCAGTTGTGATTGTAAGTTGAGGACTTCCTGTAATTTCATGTCACATCCTCGGAGGATCAAGGTGAATTATCAGCATA